GGAGTCCTAGTGGACTCCAAGATGAACATGAGTCGGCAGTGTGACGAAGCCATCAGAAAAGCCAATGGCACTTTATCGTGCATCAGCAGATGCATGACGAATAGATCCAAGGAGGTGATACTTCCCCTCTATCGGGCGCTGGTTAGACCACAGTTGGAGTACTGCGTGCAATTCTGGGCGCCACACTTCAAGAGGATGCGGATAACCTGGAGAGGGTCCAGAGAAGGGCCACTCATATGGTTAAGGGCCTGCAGACTCTCTAGACCGAGGAGAGACTATAGAAACTGGACCTTTTCAGCCTCCGCAAGAGAAGGATGAGAGGCGACCTTGTGGCTGCCTATAAGTTCATCACGTGGGCACAGAAGGGAAGTGGTGAGTTTTTATTTACCAAGGTGCCCCCGGGGGTTATAAGAAATAATGGCCACAAGCTAGCAGAGAGCAGATTTAGATTGGACATTAGGAAGAACTCCTTCACAGTTAGAGTGGCCAAGGTCTGGAACCAAGGGAGGTGGTGCTCTCCCCTACCCTAGGGGTCTTCAAGAGGAGGTTAGATAGGCATCTAGCTGGGGTCATCTAAACCCAGTACTCTTTCCTGCCTGTGCAGGGGGTCGGACTCGATGATCTATTGAGGTCCCTTCCAACCCTAACATCTATGAATCTATAAGTAGAGCAAAGCATAAGCACGGTAGGAATAATCACTTCCTACTACTGCCGTAGAATTGGTGTATGACCAATTAATGAAATTAGATGTATGCAAGTCAGCAGGACCAGATGATCTTCATCTGAGAGTGCTGAAGGAGCTGGCCAAAGTCACTGCAGACCCCCTGACAAAACTCTTCCATAACTTGTGGCACTCTGGAGAAGTCCCAGAGAACTGGAAGAGGACCCATGTTGTGCCCATCCACAAGAAGGGCAGGAAGGAGGACCTGGGTAACTATAGGTCAATCAGCCTAACTTCCATCCTAGGGAAAATCCTAGAAAAGTTCATCAAGGAATCTATCTGCAATAAGCTTGCAGAAGGTAAGATTCTGAATGACAGCCAGCATGGCTTCGTCACAGGCAAGTCTTGCCTTACCAATCTCATCTCCTTCTATGACCAGGTAACTCGCCACTTGGACATGAGAGAGCAGGCTGACGTTATATACCTTGACTTCCAAACGGCCTTTGATCTAGTATCCCACAATGTCCTTGCAAGAAATTTGG